CAGCAGGAAGGAAAATTAAAATAGTTTATATTCCTACATGGAAATTTGGACTTTAAACACACAATCTCTGTACTAGCTGAATAGAATACTAAAAATTCAGCAGATATGTAGTGAGGATGAATAAATGAATATTAAAGCCCTTCTAGAAATATCCAGTTTCATGATGCCAAATGTCAGCTAGATAGCCTACTGAATTTTCATTTCTTTATTTAAATATTTTGACATCTCATAGACAAACCATAGTTTTACCCATGTACTTTTTGTTCATGTTTTCTCTTGGATTCATATCTATGGTAGCATTTCCTGAAAGTTCTTATAAAAATGCCATATTTTTTATAAAATAAAATCTATCAAACTGACTTCTTAAACATTTTTGATATAATTCATTTCATTTCATCAATGATTGCTTCATTTATTTGATCTTTGAATTATGCAGTCATTAAATACTTATTAAGTGTCTACTGTGTGCCAAGCACTATGAATGATGTATATACTTACATATATTCTTCACCTGGATTAACCCTACACACACACACACACACACACACTGGTAGTATAGTAGGCATTGGAGACACAATAATCAACAAAGTTACACAGTCTTTGCACTTTAGAAGCTAAGGATTTAGCACTGTGTTTAGCAGAGCCCCAGAAGAACTACATTGTAAACAGGAATGGCTTCTTAATGGTGAACAGGATTAAAATGAGATTTTAAAATGGAAAGGACAGTGTGACAACAGGAAAATTCTTCCACAGAGAGTTTGGTTCCCTTTGTCATAACTTCTTTCTTCATTGGTAACAGCATACCTATGGTGACCACTGTGCGAGCCTTCTTCCTTATAATGTTCTGTCTCCATCGTGCTGTTTTCTGGTTCCTCAGTTGAACTTAGTCAGCATGATTTAACACAGAGGAATGCTCATTAGCCTCACCTAGCAAAGTGGTGTTGCTGAATTGCCATTCGGTTTTAAAACAATATTCAGGACTTACTGTTAACCTTTATTTGCATCATATTGTTGATATTACTCTATCCCTTTGTGAGCAACAGCTGTGGCTATTCATGAGGTTTTCTTGGCTGTCTACATAGAGCTGAAGTGCATTTTTAAAACTGTTGCATCTGCATCACTGCTTGCTCACTAGCTGGCATCCTAGACCTTCTGGGACATCTGACATGGTGGCTTGAGAGCTCTCTTCCTGCTCTGGCCAGCTACCATAAGCTCTTCACCTTTAGTTCACCTTAAAGGGACATGATTGAAAACAGAAGCAACCATTTTCCAAAGAATGATATGTTTCTAGAATGTTATGTACAATTTGTTATCCAGATGTGTTGGGTGTTAACACATAGCAAAGACATCCATTTTCCTTCTCATAACTTGACTTGGGATATGCAAATATAGCAATATTTTCTGGAAAAAAAGTCTTTGTAGCATCACCTATATTAGAATATAGGTGAAGCAAGTAAGGATAGGACCTGGGGTATGTGAGATTAGGCATGGTTGGAGGGCAAATAGTCATAGTCAGGACAAGCAATGTGGCAGGAGTTTAGAAGTTCTGGCCAGATGGGTGAAAGATTCAGGTAGTCATTGCAGATGGCTAGCTCATAATAGATGCTCAACAAATCACTGTTGAATGAATTAATAAGTGGTTGCATTTCAGGAGGTTTGTAACATAGAGTTATCAAAGTCAGAGGAAACTAGGGTCTAGTCTAACATTATGGAGTTTGAGGCAGCAACACCATCCATCAAGAACAATGAAATACAGTCTGCTCATAGAAATGGATCTGTTTGTCCTTTGGCCTATTTTATTCTTCCAGCTGTGTATCATCGGCAGCTCTCAGTCCCAGGTGAGTGATTATAGCTGGAGAAAGTCAAGGGCCTGCAGGTGCATCCTGAGCTTGATTGGAACAGGGGCAGAGGTGCTAGGATTACCAGGAGGTTCTTACATTAGCATTGCTTATGAACAGTCTCACTTCCAAGTGGCGTTTTATGCATAACAGCAGAATGTGCCACATTTGTAAACCAAGTGATCTCAACTATCAGGGCAGTCCTTCATGTGCATCTGCTTCTAGGCAATCAAGTACCCAACCAAGGTTCACAGCAGTCTTTTCCAGCTAGAGGACAGGATAAAGAGAAGCCTTCTGGCTTCAGGCACCATCTTAACATAAATAAGCAGAGTTCCGTTCATGTGGGGGTAGTGAAGCCTGGAATCTTACTAGACTTAGAACAATATAATCCTGCCTCAGTTATCACTAGATAGTCAGGGGGTCCTGCGTACTCCTACCATAGGGTATTTATATCTCTTTATATGTCTATCACATATTCCTCTTTCAGCAGGTAGAACCAAATTTTAGTGGTATAGGGAAGTGAGTGGCTGCTTCATCTTGTAAATTAACTTTTGGTCAAGTTTTAGCTATATTCTAATCAGGTCTGTTTTAATGGAAAATATTTCTGTGTTTTAGAAACAAATCCTGAAATGTTTGCTGGTCTTTTAAAATTATTATTTGCAAGTAACTAGGTTTAACAAATACTAATAGTTCCATATGAGTCTAGGTTCATTACATTAACTTTTAAATTTTTTTCTATAAATAAGGGAATTTTGAAAACCACTATAACTTTTCCAATGTGTTCCTTCTAAAACCAGCGGGAACTAATATTTTGAGAAAAAACTGCATATATATATATACATATATATATATATATATATATAGAGAGAGAGAGAGAGAGAGAGAGAATTTTATCTTTGGGGAGACTGGCTCTGAGCCAATATAGCAAAGGAAGAAAAAATACATTCTCAAAGCACAGTTAACCCTCTGACTAAATGTGTGAAGGGAAAACCTAATTTGGCAATATTGGAAGGATGTATATTCTGAAACAAAGGGTTCTTTTGGTAGCTTGTGTCAAATTAGTTGGCCATGGATTGAACAAGAATAACAGGCAATGCACTTGTATAAAACCCAGCTGCTGTCTCCAATATTTGGTAATGAACTGCATTTTGTATATGAGGATGACGACACTAACCAACTGGAAGTATGGCATGTGCTACAAGTAGTGTCTCCAGGAGTGAGGCTGGATTATTTCGATCTTCCACACTCTAGGGCCCAGCCCCTCTTGGATCTCTTACACATATTTGTGCAAACAAGGTATAGTCTGTGACCGAGTAACAGAGCCAAGCCAACTGGCACAGAAAGAGTTCAAATCCATGAGTCTATTTAGTCCTGCATTCAAACACACTGAGCTGATCATTCACACCAAAAGTCACAAATAATAGTTCTCTTTTATTCTGTCCTCACTATATGTTTCCCACTGCATAACAGTTTCAGTTCATATCCTATGACTATAACTAAGTTATGTTGAAATGTACTAGACTTCTTATAGCATTGCATGTAACTTATTTTTTCCAGTTATTAATGACAGTCACTAATTATAGTGCATATTCCAGCCTGTTAATGATTATAGACATTTAGTACTTAAAGAGAACCTAATGATACATACAACCCTTTTGTTTTCCTTTGTTTCTAAGACAACAAGGAATATGATGCCTATCTCTCTTACACAAAAGTGGACCAAGATACTTTGGAATGTGACAACTCTGAAGAAGAGCAGTTTGCTCTTGAAATACTGCCAGATGTGCTAGAAAAACACTATGGATATAAACTCTTCATCCCAGAAAGGGACCTAATTCCAAGTGGAAGTAAGTACTTTCAATTTTTGTATTTTAAAAGTTTGGCTTCACTTAAGTTATGTGGAGACTTCAAATGTCAGAGCCAAATATTTAGATAGTTTTTCTTACAGGAGATTTTATTAAATTCAAATTTTTCCCCGATACCTGTTTTCTGACTTTCTAGCATCCAAATTTTTTTCAAAGGCACTCTCATTTATATTTTAGGTATGGTTTTAAAATTGTGCTTTAATGGTATGCTTTATTATATTGCCTTAGTGTTCTGAGAAAATGATGATCGTTAAAAAAATGTGTATAAGTCAGATATTTTTTGCATTTCAGACTTTTTGCATTTCAGATTTTTTGCATTTCAGATTTTCAATGCATTTCAGTTCCAAATCTGGTCTTCCGTCACTGTGCTTCTACTTATACCTACAATCATTGTCACTGATAACTCTGAATTTATGCTTTAATACCCATTTCCAGATTTGCAGAAGAAAATCCACTTAAAAATGAAAGTGAGGCCATGGCGTATGGCACCTTCACTGTGTATTTAAATTCTTTTTAAGAAGTTCTAGACTATGTAGGCTTGAGTGCTACTTTTAAATTATGCTACATATTGAAAGCTATATATGAGCTTACAGAATAAATTCAGGTTCAAGTAAAAATATATACTTCTTTTCATGTTTCTGTTCAGAGTACTGTACACAGTAAAGTGTGAGGTAAATACAGAAAAGATATGGTCTCTGCCCTCGAAGAGCTTGAAATGCCATTGAGGGAACATAAAAGTGCTAGAATTCATTTGCATGTCTATATTAATATCCTTGAGAGGGGGAGATTAAGCTGTGACCACAAATCAGAATATGGTAATTTATACACATGGGCTAACAAAATTTAAAAGCTTATATATTTAGTACTTCACAGTATATAGAATATTTTCACATACATTATTTTCACATACATTATTTCTTTTCATCTTTACAATAACCCTATGTGGAGAAAGAGCAGGTACTGTTATCTTCATCTTACAGATGAGGAAATAAGGCCTGAAAGAAGTCCAAGACCAGTCAGCTGGCAAATGGTAGAGATGGAATAAGAACCTATATCTGTTTGATTCTGGTTCTCACTCCTCTAGATCACGCTATTTATTCCTCAATAACTTTTATTCAGATTATCAGAAGTCTACTGTGGTCACTAAACTGACAGGAAACAAATTGAAATAACTGAGTTTTTGTTGTTCATCTCTTTTTTCAGCGTGCATATGTTTCTGTATATGTTTGGGTTTGCACATGAGTATGCACACTTACACATGCATAGAAAGAAACCAGACAATATTTTCTGGTATATTACTTTCTACAAATGTAATATTTCTCCAAATTTCTTCCCATGGTCCTCTCCTCATTTCTTTCTGTAATTTCCTTTATTTTCATGACTTTAAATACCACTTCTACATTGATAGAGCCCCAAGGAACATGCAGATACCTCAGAGTCATTTTTGATTCTTTTGTATCTCTCTCCCAAATCCAGTGCCCATTGCATCTTTTCCATTACCACTTCCACCATTCTAGTATAGGCCCTAATCACCTCATTCCTGAATGTTGATTACTCTCTGCCTTTCCTATTTTTCCTCTTATGCATCTAGTCCCACTAATATGTATACCTCCTTGATCATGTCTCTCCCCTATTCAACAACCTTAAATTCTTCACCATTTCTTATAGGATAAAATCCATTAACCCTTAGCTAAACACTGCTACAGTCTGATGCAACACTTTTGTCCATGTTAGTCTCCTACACCTTTACAAATCCTATTTATACTCTCCATAACACTGCCTCTGTGAAAAGTCCATAATAATTTCTCTAGCCCTAGAGTATGTGGTGTATAATCACTTGTTTCACTATAAATTTTGTACTCCTTACTCCTGTGATATTTTGTATTATTTTCTTTTTTTAATGTAGTGTTCCAGCTATTTGTCTTATCTTCTCAGCAAAACTATAAGCTCCATGAGGGCAAGGACTGTCTCTCATTCATCTTCATACCCCTGTTATCATCTACCAAAATACCTGAACTCAGTAGATGTTTCATAGATGCTTGTTGATTTTGTTTTAATAGTATTGGTTTAAGGCAAGAGGAAATAATAAGAATGAAATAAGTAAAAATGTTAATTTTTGCATGACAGTATCTGAAAGGCATTTTTTTAACAAAGTGAATGTGAAATCTAAACAAGGAGCTTTCTGCTGAAAGAAAACAAATGAAATTAATAGGAATAGTTTCAGTCTTAATGTGTATACTACTTTTACTTTTTTTCAGATATTAGAAAGAATATCTACAAGAGGTTGATCAATCATTAATGAAATATCAAAAATATCCCTTTACTATTTTTTGTTTTAACTCCTTAGATTCCTATGTATTTTTTGCATTTTTGCCAAGAACATCTTGTTAACTATCAAAATTCTGCAACATCGATTTTTAGAGTGATAGTGTACTAAATTGTATTAAAGTAATATCATTACCAAAGTGGAATTTATACTCTATGTCAAGTCACCTGCAGTAGGATTCAATATGGATTCAATTTCTGCCTTATTGCATTACAAAATTGTTGGCACCACAATAGACAGTCTTTATCAACCCCACTAAGTGACTTAAAAATGTCACCCTTCATGTCCGAACACATCAAATTTGATTATCTTTCTTCTGACCTGGAAAACAATGCTTCAACATTGTGCACATCAGAAAAGGAAATAGGCACAACATGGAACACAGGCAAGTCACTTTACCTGAGACTCAGTAGATGACACTTGCTTATTATATAAAGAAGCAGCTATTGTGCATGGGTGAGAGTGAGACCCAGAGAGCATGAGAGCGAGAGAGATGCATCTCCAAACTGTGTTCTCTTAGTTCTCTCAGATAGTCTATTTTGATGATGACAGGTCAATTGAATCAACCTGCTGTGTCAATTTAGCCAAACAGGTGGTAGACTATTTTACACCTCATTGAGTCAGCTAGTTGATTGGCTAAATTGATTGAAATCGATTAGTTGTTTTGGTGTATCACAGGTCTGAATGTCCTCCTTGACCATGGGGTATGAGGTTTACACAAGCCATATTTCCTAGCACAAAACTATAAGATTTTAGCTGAGGACTATAACACGCTACATAAGAGATAGTAGAAGGTTGTCACCTCATATACCCAGGCATTTAAAGAACTCAACATAAAAATACCCAAGATGATGTTATTAGGGAGAAGAGAGATTTTTATAGTCCATAGAAGATCATTTTAGTGTTTTTGAGACTGTACAACAATTAGACTGAGCAGGGACTTGGATCCTGTGTACTCAGTGGTACACAGGAAGACTCCCTTTACAGCTAAGCAATTTGGGACAACTATGCAGTTTTTAGATGCAACCACTGGAGGGTGTTTGATTTTAATCCTTCCTTCCTGAACGAGGAAATTCATGTTCTCTGAATTCCGATTTGTGAGTGTAACCTGCAGAGGTTCTTAAAAAGGCCCTTTGACCATTTTTCTTTTCCATCAACATTTCAGAGCTGGCTGAGCAGTCACCATGTCACGATTAACGAGTTTTTCCTTGGCATTTTTAGCACGCATTCAGGAAGTCGATGAAGTATATGAATAATATACTTGATTTACACATGAATGACAGAGTAGAACATTTTGGACTTGGTGTATGTGTGTTATTAAAGAAGCTTCTGTGGTCTGTAGTTGCAGCCATTGGTACAGATTTAACAGGTTATGCTATATAAATATAGACACATTCCTGCGGGGGGGGGAAGTAGTTACAATATTATAAGCTATGTTTGTCCCCCACATCTCATTTAAAACATGTTGACCCAAGACTGCTCCTTCCTCTAAAAACTAGCAATGAGGCCTTTGAGAATTGTAAAAGCAGACTTCATAATATCATTCTTGACCTACAACAATAATTTTCTATGAATCAATCTAATGAAGTCTATGACATAAATCCATTCATGTTTAATGCCTTCACTTTTGATGTATCTTCAGTTTCATTTGTACCACTCTCGTGGTATTCCAACTCAACCTCATCAACACACAAATATTTCTAATGTATACAGTTTCAGAAGTACATGAATGGGTGTCCCCCAGCCTTCTTCCTCCCCCTGACACCAATGCACACATGACCGTGAGTTCACAGAAAGCTTCAATATAAAGATGTCACTCTCCAAGGTGAGGTATAGGTAACTGTACCCTTCTCGCATGCCCTACTAGAGAAGTGTCGTTTGACCATCATGGAACAGCACAGGTGGGAAGATTTGACACAAACATTTTTCCTAAATGCTAAAACTAAAAGTCTTCAGATCTGGACATTATTTTCCTGGCAGTGACCTACCTTTCCATTCTTGAGTTGGTGGCCAGGATCTTCCTTATGTTTTCTCAGGTTTGGTGCCTGAATGTGGCAAGAATTTCTACTTTCCAGTAAAAGTTTTGTCTGTCTCTTCCCAGGCTAGAAACATCTGTAGTAGAATAGCAAAAGCAACTTTGTTGCCAACAGGCATCTGAATGTCAGGAGTGACAGGCAACCAAAAGAAAGCCAGAGAGAAAACACCCTACTCAAACTGCCTAGAGACACAAACTTGAGAAGTAGAGATTTTCTCACCCATGCAGCTGCTGGGTTTTGTGATGTAAAGTACTCTACACAGAGCACATTGTGTTCATAGGGCCTAGTGGATCCTTTAGGAATGAACAGATGTGCTCTGAAGCTGACATGTGACCAACAGAACCCAGCTGTGCAGTTGAGATCCTGAGATTGGGGACATTTTTGGATGAGTACCATTTAGGCTTTTGAGCCCATCTTATCTCAGTGTTTCTGCAGAGATTTAAAAGCATAAAAATATAAAAGTTAATCAACTGGTCAGATGGAGAGAATAGTACTCCAAGACTAAAAGTAGAAACAACCCAATCCTATAGCTTTTGTTTGCCCTTAAGAGAAAGCAAGCAAGGTGCTTAAAAGTGCATGTGCAATACTGATTAACAATTATAAATTGAGCTAGTTCTGGC